TCACTCATGTCCCACTGTTCACGCGCAGCAAATTAGGGATTAATCTATCTTAATCCGGTAATTAATTGTTTAATCATGATTATCTTTTTCCGTCCAAGTAAAATGTCTGTTTTGCCCTTGGGTTTGGGTCAACAAACTAAAGTTGCCCACGTGCGGAAAACGACCGGAATGCGGTAAAATCTTTGCAATTTATGCACAAGAGATCGGGATCGGGCACCCATTTATTAGCACACGTGTCGCCATTTTGTTGCCTCGCTTTTTACTAAAATGCCACTGAGATCAATTTAATTAATTTATTATCTTTAGGTAATTAAGTGAAAGTGTTTGACATTTCAAAATAGTATATTGTATTATGAGAGTTTTATGAAATTAAATTAATTGATTAATTAACATTTTCTTAATTACTTTGTATTTTTTTCTTTTAATCATGTTTGGAGTATATGATATTTTTGAATCAAAATTAATAAATTAATGTATTTAGTTGACTGAATCGTAATTTTCATCGAATATGATACAAAATATTTTGTATCACGTTTAAAATAATTTTAAAACTTTATTTCTTTGGTTCATAATTTTTTATAATTATTTTTTTATTTAAATAATGTGGTGTGAACGGAAAATTTCATAAAAATTTATTTTTATAAATATTAATGTTGTTAGATTTGATTTGTTATTTTAAAATTTGTAAGATCCAAATTTCGAATTTTAACTTTTTAAAAAATAAATTTTTGTTTTAAATTTTTAAAGTACCAACTTTAGAACATTTTTTTGTATATAATTTTTGAATTGATATTAGTATATATAGAAAATATATCATATAATAAAATATTTATTTGTTCTGTTTTGTTATATGTATAGAAATATATGGATAAAGAAAGTTTAGTTCATCGTGTAAAGTTTTTACATCTCTCAATTCTAGTTTTTTATTTTTAAGGTACCTGCTTATAGCTTTCATAACTTATTATATATATATATATATAATATATATATATATCTAGTTAATGTGACTTTTTATTTGTCAAAATATCTCATAAAAATATTTTTACGTACTTATAGTTTGCACAAATTACTAAATCATACAGAAAGTCGTGCTCACGTTATTTTGTTGATGAATATATCTCTTGTTGGTATATTTCTTACCATTATATGATTTAATGATCTTGATTTTCAGCTTAATTTGATTTTTTACTAAGGGTCTGAAGCCTTTAAATATTCCATAAACTTCACATTTTTGCTTTGAAAAATATATCCAATACATTTTGAATAATCATCAATAAAAATTAAAAAATATTTATTTTCATTTAAAGAACAAATGCTCGTAAGTGCATATAAATTTGTGCGCATCAGCTACAATTTTTTTACAACTTTAGGAAAAGACAACTTGTTTTGCTTTAACTCAAGAATTTCACGAACTTCCTTATATTTATTAACTAGTGATATGCTTTCCGCTAATTTTTTATTGTAAAATGAACCTTATGTCCATTTCTACTGACATGATCTCACACCAACTAGGATCATTAAAGATACATAATTTATCATTAAATTACGAGAAATATTTTTTTCAATTATTTATCCTACACTCAACAAATTTTGGTATAATCCAGGCATAAACAATATATTAAAATGTTATTTTACATTTGAAGATGTCGTCACAATAATATATGTTTTTCCTTTAACCTTTAATTACTCTCGGTGTTTATTTTGACCATTGACTTGTAGAACTTATCAAACTTTTCAAATAATCTCTGTTCAGGTGACATACAGTGACTATTAACTGCTATCAATTAATTAAAAGCTATAGTTTGAGTTAATTGAGTAGCATACCGTAACAAGTAAACTTTCTTCTTGTTGTCCTTCATTTTCCACAACTTTGACCATTTGTTCATCTTATTCCCTTTTGTTTTTTGCAAACGTTTTCAACAGGTATGAAACTTTTGTACGCTTGTATTAGATTTTAGGTTTGTACTGTCAATACTTTTTAAGATGATTGGTCTTTTTACAACGTGGACATGGTGGATAACTACCCTTTTTATTTCCTTATTTATTATTGTTGTTTTCTTGTTTTTT